CGCAGCCCCCCCCACCAGGCCCTAGGGTTGCCTCCACATCCCCCTCCAGGCCCGGGGTTGCATGCAGACCCTCCCAGGCCCAAGGGTTGCATGCACATCCCCCTCCAGGCCCGGGGTTGCATGCAGACCCTCCCTCCAGGCCCAAGGGTTGCATGCACATCCTCCTCCAGGCCCCGGGGTTGCATGCAGACCTCCCCTCCAGGCCCTGAGTTGCACAGGGACCCCCTCCTCCAGGCTCCGGGGTTGTATTAGACCTCTTCTCCAGGCCCCAGGGTTGCACACCCCTCCCCAGCCTGGGCTGCATGCAGACCCTCCCTCCAAGCACCGGGGTTGCATAAGGACAACCCCTCACCCTTTTTCCAGGCCCTGGGTTGCATGCAGAACCTCCCTCCCCCCTTCGAGGCCCTGGGGTTACATGGGGACCCCCTCTCCAAGCCCCTGGCTGTAGGGACTTACCCCTTCTCTCCAGAGGCCTGGGGCACACAGACATCTCCCTCCAGACATGGCCCTGACCCCTCCAGGCACATGGGCACCTCATGTCTGGCCTGGCAGGAGCTGGGGGGGACACAAGGGTCTGGGGCATTGGGTGAGAAAAGGTCCCTGGGCACAACTGGTTGCTCCCTCCCTGCACTGGAAAGAGATTTAAGGGCCCCAGGTGCCTGCTGGCTGGCCCCCTGTATCTCGGTCCATGCCTGCCTGGGTGCAGAGCACATGGGTCCTGTGCGTGCAGCACTATGCCCCCTTTCAAGCCTCCTCTCTTGGCTGGGACCAGCCACCCAGGCCTCGACTGTGCCAGGAGGAGAAGGGTTGTCCAGCTCTGATTTCTGCAGAGGGAAGAGCCCCAGGGAGGATTTCCCAGGCTGCAGCATCCTGCCCAGCCGCCTTTCCCCGCTGGGGTCAGCTGCAGGCATGTAGGAAGCCGGTGAGCCTTGGCACCCAGGCTGGAAACAGGCTTGACAGGTCCCGGCTGGAAAAGCTGGAACTGCCTTCCCATCTGCTCACCTCATCCCTCTGCGTTGCATCGCACCCTTGGTCTCCACCGTGGCTCCGACCTCCCACCCCACTCCCCAGAAGAGAAACAGGGGCAGCTCAGTGTGGGGACTGATGTTGGCAGCTGTGCGGTGCTTCGTGCTTAGGCCCAATGCAGAACGAACCAAAGGGTACCCAGAGGCAGTCAGGAGTGCCAGGGGCCTTGCTGTGATATGGGTCATTGCAAATAAGACCCTTTTTTGGATGAGGCGCTAGGCTGGGACTCTAGCACTGGATGAGGTGCTAGGCTGTAGGGTGGGCATAGCATTTTCTGGGTCACATTGCTCTCCATGTTATTTTAAACTCTGGGATCAGGAACTCGGTTACATGCGTTGGTTTGGAGCAGGGTACAATAGGACCCTTGAAGTACTTGTTACGTGTCCGCAGCATTACAACAGAAGAGTGACCCGGTGGTTTTACGTCCTTTGCAGGGGAGATCCCCCTTCTTCTCGGCCTTGAATGACCTGCTGTAGTTAGAGGGTGAAGGCCTGTCCCTCGCACTGTGGGCAGGCTGACTCCTACTAGAGTCTACAAATGCCTCCAAATGTGAGGATCTCAGCTACGCAATTTATGGTACCGGGGGATGGCTGTCAGGCTTTCTGTCTAGCTTGGCCTTTTGGCTGGGGGCAAGCAAGACTAGGGGACATCTGGGTTTGAGGCTTGCTCATAGGATGCCTGCCATGGATCTGGGAGTATATAAAGCCCCAGGTTGATGAGTGTAGGAAGGAAGATACTTGCTGGTGGTTGTGCCACACAGATTTGAACAATGGAGCTCTGCTCAGTCAGTAGAATTCGGAACGGATTTGGCTGATTTGGCCCAAGACACGAAATTTTAAAAAAATCTAGGGACAGATTAAATTGGTGATCCCATATATCTTGTCTGCCTGGAAACGGGTGTGATCTCAGTCTGTAACTTGAATAATGGCTGTATCGTATAGTCATGGGAATCTTTTCACCTTTTCAAAGGATGGGACGTCAAGGAGAAGTCTTCCCAGGCAGGCAAGGCCAATAATTAAAAATACTGTATGAACCATTCATTCTGTATCCATGTCGGCTATCGCAGCTTATGCCACTGATAGATTTCTTTTGCCATGCTATCGTTCGTTTTCCCTTACCCAGCTGACTTGTACACATCTGTATTCTTGAGCCCCCAAATCAAAGCAGTTACCCAAAGCCTTGCCTCATTTGCTCCTCCTGCATCCCTGTCTCCATTAAAACTGTGTGGGTCAGCTCTGGTGGCACCTGCAATGGGACAAACAGGAATCTGGGGGCTTGTGAATGCTATGCTGGTGTTGAGTCTTGTGTGCTGCATGCCGCTTCGTCTGCCTTCCCAACCTCGGGCGGGGTCCAGAATAATGGTCCCTAGCTCTCAACCAGACCAATTGCCATGTTGATATTATGGTGTTAGAAACACAGATCTCAATGTGTATCAAAACCTTCTGTGTAATACTTATTGAGCATGCAGAAATGCATATTAACGGACTTCAGCTTAGATTCCTGGAAGTAGCATTATGAACATATAGGAAATGTAAATATTATGGCAATATAGGTCATAAGCAACAACAGGCACAAACAATTGCAGCAGGTTAGTTCGTAGACACCGTTGCACTGAAGTTTACACTGAGTGTTTCTAGCAGTTTGTCCAACTGTTACTGTTTGAAAGAGATATTCTGCTTGTATCACAAGGGGGGACCTATAGAAATGATCAGGCTGGTAAGAGAAACTTACTCTTAAATTTCCTGCCTGAAGAGAAGTGCAGGCAGGTAATGCAGGCCCTGCTGAAGGAAATCACCTGTCAGAGTTCTGGGCAACTTGACAGTTTAGGAGGGATTAGAGGAATTATCTAGCTCAGCAACATTTGCAACCCTTTTGCACCCCTGACTCATTAAAAGGCTGCAAAACTCACGCTGTGTCCCAGAATCTAGGGGTTGCAGAAGAGTTTTAGACCTTAATCACGGGATGAAATGATGCAAGTTTTGGGGAAAATGGTGCTGGGGGCGGTTAAGCAGAGGGGCAAGGGGAGACTACCACTTATTATGCCATCTTTACTTGCTTTATCGTTGCCTCATCCTTCTTAATACCCCGTGGTGTTTATCATCAGCCTGTTTTTATCATACACTTGGATTGTGAGCTGTCTGGGGGCAGGCTGTGTCCTCGTTTCCTTGTCTCTCCAGCCCCGTAGCACACTGGTGCTCTGATGGGGGTCTCTTGACATCATTGTGAGGCAAATTTGGGGTGGAGAGTGGGGAAAGGAGAGGGGCAGAGGTAAAATAAGTCCTTGGTTGATCTTCCCAGAGCACACCACTGAGTTACATTGTCCTTTCTTATATTAGGAAAGGACAGTGCTTTTTGCTTACTACTCCACAGCTTACACTGCCCAGCAGTGTCCTCGGATTTTTGCATGCGGGGCTTTTAAAGTGTCTGTAAGAAAGTTTTAAAAGTTTTAAGCTGTCCCAGAAATGCCTTAGGTTCACAAAGCTGAACTTCAGTAGTGGTAGGAGGAAAATAAGGCTCAAGTCTAAGGCAGCAAAGGAGAACCTGGAGATCTTTAGAGGAGATCTGGATCTAAATGAAGAGTTGGGAAGGGGAGGGGGACTGCTGCAGCTGGCAGGGACCGTGGAGAAGGCTGTCGTGGAGGAGGTGGAAGATCCAGCACTGCTTGAGCCAGCTGAGGTGGGGAGCAGAGAGGATTGATGTGAGGTGGTGGATTTTCAGAAGATAAGGAGCAGTTTTGGATTGGGCCTTGGCATGAAGAAAGAGCCAGTTGCCAGAGATGTGGCAATACGCTCAGGTAAGCATTTGTGTGGGTGGTTTAGACAGAGATGATCCTGCCTTGACAACTTCCTGAAGTCCCTTCTAGCTCCATTTTTCTATGAGCCTTTTTCTATGTGAGAAAGGAGGGCAGGGGCTGGAGGCCAGATGGAGGAGCATGGAGGAGGCCCTGGGGAATAAAGGGTGCAATGGTCAGGCTGGAAGAAGATGACAAACACAGGCAAGGACTTGACATCCCCTGGCGACAGGCATCACAGGCTCTGCAGAGGCATCAGGATGTTTGCTTAATGTTGCCGACTTTGTTGCATGCAGAATAATTCATTTCTCAGCAGGGGAAGAGTCACGACAGTGCCCAGCAGGAACAGTGTCACCAAGCAGGTTAGGTGTGGGCAGATTGTAAGGTGTGGGAAGAGAAGGAAGACTGAGGCTCAGGGATGACTCTCTGGGAGCCAGGTCATGTAGCTGGCCCAAAACACAGCAGCTTGTCTCTGAGAGCTCTTCTGTCTGGTAGCTGCTGACCCAACGACGGGTCCATTTCCAAGGCCTGCTCTTGAAAGAGCCAACAGGGCTAGGACTTAGCTTTCCAGGGGACCATCCCTCACCGTACTCTTCACCACATCACTCATACGCATCCCATGTGGTGAGCTGGCTTGTCTCCGCAGGCTCCTACAACTGGAAACCGAGGCAAAGGGCTGTACAGGCGTTACGATGTGTACTCTAACCCAGCGTTTGGACTGATGTGTTGTGTAAGCAGCGTGGCTCCAATGTAGGCAGAGAGGAGGGAAGGTAACACTAATAGGATTTTCATGCATGCTTCAGTCTAATGGCAGGGGATGCCTTTGGGATGATTGGCTGTTGTAATCTGCTGGGTTAGAAAATAAGGTTGTGTACAGGCAGGGAGTTGATGTAATTTAGTGGGACCTAGCTATGTTGCGATGGAGCTGATTCCCTTTGCACTGGGCTACCTCATCTAATCTGCTCCCCTCTCTCCCCTGTCCTGTGGCAGGATGATCTCCTCCATGCCCCTGCGTGTGGCCGGCAGCCTGGTGGCTTGGCTGTCCCTCTATGCCTGGTTCTGTCACCGGTACAAGCGCCGTAGTTATGAGTGGAGCTGTCGCCTAGTCACGCTGACCCACGGTCTCCTCGCCACCTGCCTCTCTGCCTACATCGGTTTCATTGATGGCCCCTGGCCTTTGACACACCCAGGTACGTTACCAGCATTTGGCCCAGGTGAACTGGTATAAACACAAGTTGTCTTCTGGGCACCGAGACCCTTCTCCCACAGTGGCTGTGTGCTCCTGGAGCTCGTCTCTAGGCCATTGTAGTTGGTATGGGGGTGAAGGGGCACATCCAGCCTTCTGTCCTCATGTCTCCCGTGTCACCTCATTCTTTTCTCTGCTCCAAGCCCCTTTGCAGTAGGACTCCTCCATGTGAAATGCCTTCCTCCAACCTCCACCTCTCCCCTGGCTTTTGCTCAGTGACTGGCTTTAGCTGTTCCTGTTGGTACCAGAGCAGCCTGGAGGGCTGTTTCACCCTCTGCTTTTGCCTCTATGGCCCCTTTGGGATTGCATAGGATGGAAGCCCATCTCCTGTTGAATCCCTCCCTCCTCCAGCCTGGTTGCTGGCTGCCCACTCCAGGACACCCCTCCCCATTGCACTCCAGGAGCGATGGCCCAGAGCTTCCTCCACGCTGTATGGAGGCATCTCTGCACCACTAATATCCCCAGGGTCTGTCTTTGCCCAGCCCAGCTGAAGAGACTTTAACTGAGTTGGGCCTAGAACTGCAGGTCTGATACCTGGCAAAGTAGCCACCAATGCATACAAGCTGCAGGTCTGATACCTGGCAATTGTACCCACCAATGCATACAAGCTGGGGTCCTGACTGCTCTGAACATGACCGACCCCAGCACTGGGATGCTTTTTCCAAGACGGAAGGGAAATTCATCCCTCATTATCTGCCTCCAGTGTTGTATTTATGTGTCAGAGTCTCTGCCTTCTGCCCTTTAGCTTAGTAGCGGTGGCTATGATGACTTCTCCATCTTGCACTTGCTCATCAGGTGCCCTTGCTCAGATCCTGCTGCTGGGTGTCTCCCTGCTTTACTGCACCGGTGGGTGTCTTTCCTTTTCAGGGTCACCAAATACAACCCTCCAGGTCCATGTGCTGTGTCTCAGCCTCGGCTACTTCCTCTTCGACCTGGGCTGGTGTGTGTACTTCCAGACGGAGGGTGCCCTCATGTTGGCCCATCACACGGTGAGCATCCTGGGCATCACCGTGTCTCTGGCGCTTGGCGAGTCGGCCACCGAGGTCAACGCTGTCATCTTCGGCAGCGAGATCACCAACCCGCTCTTGCAGGCCCGCTGGTTCTTGCGGGAGATGGGCTGCTACCACAGTTTCACGGGGGATGTGGTGGACTTCGTCTTCGTGCTCCTCTTCACGGGCGTTCGGATCGGGGTGGGGGCCTGGATGCTGTACTGCGAGCTCGTGTCTCCCAAGCCCCAGTGGTTCATTAAAATGGGAGGTGTGATCATGTATGTCGTCTCCTGGATCTTCATGGTCAGCATCTGCCGTTTTGCCAGGAGGAAAACCATGAAGAAGTACCACACCTGGAGGAGCCGGAGGAGTGAAGAACTGCACTCAAAAGCCAATGGACACCTGAAGTGCCACTAGCCAGGCACCACGGTGGCCCTTCGATGTCATGATCTAACAGGAAGAGC